AAAAAAAAAAAGATACATAAAATTCTCAAAAAATCAACACACTCTTCTAAATGCCTAACCATCAGTAAAACTAGGTGACATAACACTCAGAAATTTTAAATATTGTGTAAGTAGAGGAGATAAAAGCAAATTTACTTGGCATTAATAACCACACAATTGCAACTTGACAGTGGAGTCCTGGGTGTAGTTAAGAAGAACTTGAAATGATGAGAAGCCTTAACAGTAGAAAAAGAAAAACCTTGAAAACATCCTGAGTATTTCAGCTTTGGAAGGAGAATGCCCCACTGTTAGTGGGAATTTTTATAGAGTGCTGGCTCGATTGAGAACAAAACAAAACATGCATTGAAGAAGATGAAAAGAAAAGGAACAAAGTAGAACTAAGAAAGCCATATTTGTAAAAGAAAACAGTCTCCACTGTGTCTCCACAGAAAGAACCCTTGAACTGAGGAACTAAAAACACTACCTGATTCATTCCTTCCTCAAATCCATTAATGTTTTTCTAATAATAATTTGTGCAGAACATCCATCCAATGTCAATCTTGAATAAAATAGTTTCAAAAGTTAACCAAAATAGTAAGTAGTCAAATCTACAGTTATATGAATCTTTAACATAACTCTCTATATATGATAAGTGAATCAGTCAAAAGTTAGTAAAAACATAAAAATCTGAATAATATAACACACATTTGATTAATCTATCAAGAGAAAAGTTAACATACGAACTGGAGACTTCGTTTTGACACTAAAGTTTTTTGTTATTGTTATAAGGAAATTACCCCTAGCAGAAATGTAGAAAATGATTAAGAACATCAGAATGAGTATGCTTCTGTGTACACATAGGCAAATGGTTTCTATAAAGATGAAAATCATCATACAAAGTAATAATGATTATGACTTGTGGGTGGTAAGAACAGCATGAATGGGAAAAGAGGAAATCAGTTATTTTCAAGTAGATGTTGAACATTTACAACATATTTGAAATATTTTTTAAGAGCTTCAAATTTTTCAGAAAATTTAGTCAAATGTTTTCTGACTATGGTAAATTTAAGACCACATCTAGAAAATGTTAAATGATTGAAATTAAGCAACCCATATCCAAACAGCTAATGGACAGAAGGAGAAAACAAATAAATGCAAGAAAAAAACTTTCAAACATTGAAAATTATATTTTTGCACATGGAAAAGAACTGGGTGTGGGCCAGAGGTGTAGGGGGGGAGGGTGAAAACACTCATCACAGACAGAATAGGGAGTAGAACAGGCAGATTTACTGAAATAAACTGCGAAGGGGAGCAGCTGGCAAGACAGGGGAGGTCTGCTGGCCATGTGGGTCAGCTCCCTGGCGGGGGATACAACTCAAGCCGTAGCAAACATAGTGCTGAGAATTAACCCCTATGCCATCAGAGAGGACCCTATTTTTAAGTGATAATCAAGATGATGCCTATGAAAATTTTGTTATATAGCTAAAGGAATAAACACAGAAAATACTTGGCCCTTAAATTCATGTTAGAAAAGAAATAATTAATGAAAGCAGAAAAAAGCAAAAACTAATATAACAAGAAATATTAAAATATAAAACAAAAGTACAAAGAAAAAAAGGTAAAACTTACTTTATTTGAAAAGATTTGTAAAAGTGTTAAATTCCAACCAGAGTGTGTATATGAGTGAGAAAGGCTTGATTTACCAATTTAAAATGTAAAGTCACAACAGATTCTATCAATGTCAAAAATCATAATTGATAATTATGAATAACTTAAAAGTCAATGAATTTGACATTTTAGATGAAATTTAAAAAACTACTTCAAAGCAAAAGTATGTTACCAAAAATATTACAGTAAAAGAAAAATGGGAATAGCTGGATTTCTATGTTCTGAAACTGGGGCTTTTATTGAAAATCTTCTCCAGGCCCTCCCTGGTGGCACAACAGGTTAAAGCACAGCACCAAGAAGCTAAAGCCACTTCAGCATGAGTTCGATCCCCAGACCGGGAGGTGATCCACATGGCGGGCAGACCTCTCCTGACCTGCCTGCTACTCCCCTCAGCAGTGTACTTAGTCAGTCTGCCTCTTCTGCTCCCCACTCTGTGTTTAATTCTCTCACTGCCCCTGCGGACCTCTGGCCTGTACCCCAGTTCTGTATGCACAAATAAATAAATCTTTAAAAAAAAAAGAAAGAAAGAAAATCTCCAGAAGAAAATAACAAGTCCAGATTTCTAGCGAATTATACCAAATATTTAGGGAAAATAACCATGATTTACACAAATTCTTCCAAGGATAAAACAAAGAAAAATCTTGTCTGAAGCCTCCCTCCTGGAGCAGGAGTTAAAGTCTCAGAGCAATTGAGCTATCACCACTGTAGCATAAATTTGATCCCCGACCAGGGAGGTGACCCACATAGTGTGGCAGACCTCTCCTGTCTCACCCACTGCTCCCCTCAGCAGTGTAAGTCTGTGAATCTTCCTGTTCTGCTCCCCACTCTGTCTCTTTTGAATCTTCTCAACCCCACCTCCTCACTCTGGCCTACACCCCAGTTCTTATGTACATAAGTAAATAATAATAAATCTTAAAAGAAATACCTTTCAACTTTTATTCATGAACTGTGATGCAAAATCCATTCCTTACTATTTTCTTGCGATTTGTACAAATACAGTACAGTTTATACAAGCCATCATCATAAATCATTTGAATTATTGATCTTTTTGCATTATTCTCAAAATTGCATCCAGGATTATGGTGTTGAAATAAGCCTATATACTCTTGAATGGTTTTCAGACTATTTAAAGTAAAAATTCAAAGTCAGCACAGTAACCTTTAAGACCCTACATGATGACTTCTGGTTACTTTTTGCATCTACTTCCACTCTACTCTTTGATTAATTAGCCACACTGACCTCTGTGCACTTCCTAGCTAATCATACTAATCACACTCTTGGTTTTTTTTTTTTAAGGATTTATTTATTTATGCATACAGAACTGGGGTACAGGCCAGAGGTGCAGGGGCAGCAAGAGGCTTCACCAGAGACAGAGCGGGAAGCAAAACAGGCAGATTGAAAAAGTACACTGCTGAGTGGAGCAGCGGGCGGGTCAGGAGGAGAGGTCTGCTGGGCCACGTAGGTCACCTCCAGGGTGGGGATCAAACTCATGCTGAAGTGGCTTTAGCTTCTTCGTGCTGTGCTTTAACCCACTGTACCACCAGGGAGAGCCCACACTCTTATTTTAAAGTCTGTACACCATTTTTCCACCAATCTAAAATATTCAGATTTTGTAAATTTACTTGACTAATGCCTTCATCCTATTCAAGTGTTTGCCCTAAAGCAAGTATTTGTCCTACTTGAATTAAGACAAACACACACACAGCTTCCTGTGGCGACCTCCCCTTATATGTGGCTATTGATGTATGTCACTTCATTAGTAAATTGGAAGTGTATTTTTTCTGACTTCAATACAAATTTTAGGAAAAAAATATTTATTGTCTGTTTTATTCATCACTGTACCCCCAGCTCCTAAAATAGTAACATTTTTTGTTTCCTTATATTTACTGAATTAACTAATGTGTTGTTCTTATCTGTTTAATATTTACCAACTATAAAAACAATCCTCAATAGGTCATATTTGACAATTTTAAGCACTCTGGCCAGCAATATATACATAATATTTGCCTGAATGTAATGTGAAACCCCCAAAGGACTTCTTAATCAGAGCACATGAAAACACAAGTGAGCAATGAATATTTGCAATCAAGTAAATAGTTTTCAGTTATATAAAACCTATTGTTTTAGCAATTAATTTTAGTCATGAATTGTTCTCAAGGATATTAGTGATTCTTAATGGTTAATTAGCCTCAATAAAACATATTTAAAATTTAAGTGAATGTGTTTGATGAAAGACACAAAAGTCTAAGAGCTATATCCCATGGACATGATATAGAATTTCACATCCTAAGTGAAATTGTTGATAGTGGAGGGGGAAAAAGTAACATCAGGAATAAATA